CATTAAATTTGTGTCTGTTTTTTAAATGCATATTCATTAGTAAAGCATAACCTAGAACTCCCTGTGAAAATATAAAGGAAGAGCTAGCAGGAGTCCCAGTGGTGGAGCAAGGTAGGGAAGGTTAGGAGGGCCTAAGCAGGTCCTTGAGCAAAGCCCAATACCTTGCTCAGAACAGAGTGGATACTAGGAGGGTCTTGGAAGGTGAAGCTTTAAATCTCGAATATATTCTCTTCTGTCAGTCTGGGCGCTCTAGAAAGAAGCTGGTAATGAAAGCTGATTTTTTTTTTGCTTAATTTCAATAGTCTGTTTTCAGCTGTATTCTAGAATGTTTTTGGTCAACTAGATTTTTAAGTCTAGCTCCTGCATGTGTCATGTTTGCTGCAGCCTCAGTTTTGCCTAATTAAGTTCAGACTAATCTTTCAATAACAGAATTAGATTAGTGGAACCTAATGGTGTAGCAGTGAAAAAGGAGTAGTAGTTTGCTGTGTGAATCAGTGACACATATTGGACAGTATGTGTTTGTGTAAAGATGATACGTTTAGAATAAAAAAGAGGTTGTTTACAGCAAGTCAAACCTCTGTTCTGTCTTAGCTTAATTGCTTTTTACTTGTTGATTTCTCCTCCATAACTTCCCTGTTCAGTGTTCCCTGTTCTACAGCTATGAACTCCCTGCCCTGTGCTGTATTATCCGCTCTTGATCTATTAACTCTTGTCGAGCTGTAAAATTTTATGGAACATTACATGAAGGAATCCAGTATCTTTAGCCAAATGAGCTTGCTCTCTCCTAAATCCTTACTTACTGAGGAGGGAAAGAACTGTGTAAGCATTTAGTGTTGCACGTCTGGCTTTTTTCTTCTTGTTTTCTATTTACTAATCACTTATGACTGTTTCTGGCATACAGACTTATGAACAAATGTACAGCTTGAATTGCTTTTAGGAATAGCTATAGCTGACTAAAAAGAGAAAAAATGTGGCTATCTTAAAATATAAAAAGCCATCAAGTTGGTCTGTTTCCAGCAGTGTTGAACTGTATTTTATTGATAGAATCTTTAGAGTAAATTCTACTTAAGAAAAACCCACTTGTCTTTAAATGATAAATACTGTGTTCAGATAAGGAAAATGTCTGTGATGATTTAGTAGTGGATGAAATTATGGTTATCGTGGCAGTAGTGCTTGTAATAGGCCAATTCAGCCTTAAAAATGACTTCAAAGGTAAGAATGGGCTTCTACTGCCATCTGGTGATGCTTTTCATAAATTAAAAGTTGGAAGTTGCCTAGATATTTAGATACATGTTGAGTACTGTGTATTCAGAGGATAAATGAAACCCTTATTGTCTCTGTAAGCTGAAGTTGTCAGGAAAAAATACCCAGATGCAATGAAGCAATGAATGTAAACGTAAAGACATGTAAAAGTTGGTGTTGCTAACTGTCCTGTCAAGGAGAAAAACAAATCTAGAATATTTGAAGCTACAGATACAGCTATATTTTATCTCTTCTTAATAAAACATTATAGCATCTGAGATGATTGCTATTATGAATAACTGATTACACACATACACCAACATGTACTTGCCTATAATATTGTGAAGTAATAAACCTAGTGTATTGTGGAAATTAAACTAAATCATTGTGCTCAGTGTTCTTCTGTTTTCCTGCCCTGTTTTTCTACCACTTGAGGTTCTGACTCCTGCCATACCATTATGCTGTGTTCTTTTATTGCAGCCTTTACTTGCTGCTTGGGGGTACAGATAACAGAAAAGGCATCTCCTAGCCATTTCTCTGAGCATGGTGCAGAGTCCTGAGATGCTTTTGCAAAGCCTTCCCTAAACTGCTGCTTGCAGAGCTGCAGGCTGTGAATCTCGGGTAGCTCCGTGCTGTGCCCAGACGAGCAGCTGTGCTGGGCCAGGGCTTTTTCTCAGGTCTTCATTGATAGCCATCCGGTTTCTTGTTTTGTTAGTCATTATATTAGCTTGTGATTATATTAGCTCCCCACAATTTTGATATGTCTGAATTCTCCTTGTTGTTTGCTATTCTGTCCTCATGGTAACGTGTTCTTGCCAGGATAAACGAAGTGAAAAACCTATCCTCACAAGGCGCAACATGCTCAACTCTGCAAAGCATGGTGTGGCAAAGATGTATATGTAAATAAAGCATTATACAGAATGAAGTTTTGGAAAAGAAAATTCTCCTGATTCCTCCAAAACAATTAAACTGTGTGAAGTGTATATTTTTGTTTTTTTTCTCCCCCACAATAATTGTTGTGTTATGGTAATGAGTCCTCAGAACATGGTGAAAATGTTTGTCTGCTTGGTGGCAAGGTGTGCTTTGTTTGTTTTTGTTTTCTTAATGGGGAAGGAACATGTTTTTGCATATGCACATTTGAGAACTTGAAGGACCATTTTCGGCATAAATGGTGTTAGTTTGAGGAAGACAATGCCATGGAAAACTTGATGGCAAATATTTTGTTTGGTAAAAGTGTGAAGAATTTAACACTGCATGTAAACTAAATTACGTGTATTGCTGTGACCTTTACCTATATTGTAAAATGTTTTCCATTCTTTTTTTAAAGGTATAGAGAAGACAAAGAAAAATAAGCTAGGTGATAATGATGCACATCTGGAAAATGAAAAGGCAAGCTCTAAAGCATACAGTAAGGCTGAAGAAATCAATAAAACAGTTTTTATAGAATGCTTTCCCCTTGTCTAAGAGGACAGGTCACTTGAGTTGTACATGCTCATGGTGCATATAAAAACTCTGTTCATCTTTTGCGCTTGTCATCAGCATACCTGTGAGCCTTGCAATGCTGCACTTTTCCTTTTAATAGGAAGTTTGTCTCTTTTGACAGGATTGATTAGAAATACATGAGGTAACCACATTCAGACAGGTTTAAGGTTTTAAAAATGTTCTTAAACTTCTATCACTGAAAAATCCCTGGCCCTTAAAAAAATTCTCTGAAATGCAGCAGGCTGCTTTTCACAGTAATATTGAAATGGCTTGTGTTATATGAACTGTCATCTTGCATCATCCATAGCCAGTATGGCCCATATAACGCCCATGTGGCCTGCAGCAGAGTGGCAAGATTCTGTGGCCTTTGCATAAGTTGTAAATCAGCACATCATTTAGTATATTAAATGCTTGCATAAATGAAACTAAAGTTTTATTTTATATGTATATGAACTCACTAAAAGAAATCCAGGGTAATGACACAGAATCACAGCACCAGCATGTAATTTGTTCTTCAATGCTGTTCAGTAGCACAAGAAAAGAAAATAGGTGCTAAAAAGACATCTGGGGGCGTTTGGAGTACAGAAGACCAGCCAGTTGACAGCTCTTCTGGGCCCACTGGTTTTAAATAGAAGGAATAAATTATTTATCCCTATACCTGATAATACCCCTCTCATATGACTTCTGTGTATATTTGGTTATGTTTTATGCTAGGTAAGTTTCTTGAAGAAGTCTGTAGAGATCCAGCTGGCACGGTGAATTTGAATTTCCAAAGCAGTCATTCCAAAGCAGCTGTTCTTTAAGACACTAAGTTATCATGCATAAAAAAACCTGAATGCTAAAGCTAGAGATGGCAGTGAATGGTCACCTCTTTCTTCAGACAAACGTCACTTGTGTCCTGCTCGCTCTATTAGACAGAATAATAGACTAAATGACTCTTATGTCTGTCTATTAAGTTGCCATTGTCAGTATTGCAGAAATTAAAGGTCGTTAACGAAAAAAAAGGTCGTTATGAACACAGACGATATAAATCAACAAATTAACCTTTTAGGATATATATTTGAATTTCATATTCTGTAATATAGTCTTTCTCCCTTTCCCCTCCCCCAAACTGTCTCTTTGGTCTCTCAGTATCAATAACACTTTTTCACAGAACGTCACTTCCTGAAAACTTTTTCCAAATTAACTCATGTATGTTTATTTGTACAGTTCATAATAAGTTGAATAAGTGGTTCAATGAAAAACATCATTTTTTTTTCCAGAAGATTTGTGATTCTGTGATTATAAACACATCTATCTGCCCTGAAGAAAGTACCACTGCTCAAACAGTCAGGACAGTGCATGTCAACAAAATGTTTCATGGTCGAGAGACCAAAATAGCAGGCTCTGCGTTGTCACAGTGTGCTTTGAGTGCATCTGTAAGCTACCAGGATGTAGGCTTGCCAAAATGGGTACGTAGGGGAAGAAACTTTTCAGTAGAAGCAAAAAAAGTGAAGGATGGTGAAAAGAATGTAGCTACATCCCTTAAAAGGAAGCAGGATGCACGTACATATTGCGCAGAGAAATCAAGAAAATTACTTGTAAAGAGCTCCTTGCCTTCATATGAAGGAAGATATAACTGGACTTCTGGAAAAGCAGAATCATCTGAAAATTGTCCTTGTGATATCAGGAGTTTGGGATATGAAGAAAAAAGAGAATTGCTTGCAACTATAAAACAGGCAGGGGCATTCATAACTACTATGGTATTTCAAGATGGTTCTTCACAGCTCAACTCAGAGCAGGTTAGTGAATCATCTATTTTAGAATTATTTTTTCAGAGCCATTTGAAATTTGCATGTGATTTCAATAAACAGAAAACTGTTAAATGTCCAGAATCTGGAACAATTCTGTATGGTTTGCTTGTCAAAATGTAAATATAGAAGTAAACCTTAATATTTCTGGCTACATTTTTTACCAAGTAAAACCTGAAGAAAAGGGAATCATTTAGGCTAAATAGTCATTTGTGTGCTTAAAATGAGAATGTTTGAATTAGCATCTTTCTGCTTTATGACATATCCATCACACTGGATTTTTGTTGCAAATCTGAAGCGTTTGTATGATACTGTATTAGTGTGGATAGTGCATGCAGTAACCCAGTGTATTGGTGGGCTTCATATCCTAAAATATGTGTGGATTTTTTTTATATAAGACAGTATCAAATTTGTCAGAGGAAACACTATTGTAATTGTACTTAACAGGCCTTAACTTCATCAGTAAAAGGAATTGTTGTCTTAGTGAAGAGTCAGACAAAGTGCCTTTGCTCTCCCAGTAATTCTTCACCTGCTTGTACTTGGGATGCTTCTAATCAAAATGATAAATTAATTTATTTAAAAACTGAATGGTCATCTCTTTGGAAGCAAGAAGAGACTCATAAGATATATGTTGGGTGAGTGTATGTAGGAAAAAATAAATTTTGCTTTATGTATGTATGTTGTTAGCAACTGTAATGTTGGGTGCTTTGTTTCTTACAGATTGCACATTGACTCAGGCTTAATCTCCCCGTGCTCGAAGTCCATGTTAGTTGTCTTAGTTATGTGTCAAGCCTGGGCTTAATTAAATAAATCATGAAGCATCAATGATTTGTTTTTAAGATCTTGGACTCACTTGCTAGTTGCCTGTCTCCTACTCTTCTAGCACAAGTCACTTCACTTACCTTTGTTTCACCAGCTGTAATACTGGAAATATAAAAAGAATAATCTTTTAATTTGTTGCCAGTTTGATTATAGATTGTTAGGAATGAAGACCAACTCATAGGTAAATCAAGTTCTTGTGAATAATAGAAATGCAAGAATAAGCAAGCTAATTTTATTAGGTTTTATCTAAATGTGAATGATCTCTTGTAACAGTGGTAGAGTTATGTAACATTTGACCTACACAGATATTATGGTCTGCACAAATTTTGGCCTGTCCAAAATCCTGCTAATGTTGTTTCATATTAACAAGGATAAATAATCTTGGAAGCTCTTTAATTGATGATTGTTTTCTTATATTGCCCAAAATAGACCTAATCAAATACACCACACAGAGTTAGCCCAGTTTATATATATTTCTATTTTGTATAGTACAGACAGGGAACTAAAACCATAAGAGGAAGCATACTGCACTTCAACAGCATGTTAATAGTAGGTAATTGTGGCAATTTAGACTGTGCAGTAATTTTTAAATTGTGATTTTACTATCCTTGATCAACTCAATTAGAATCCTCTGTGATTCTGCTGGGTTATATTGAAGTGTTACAAGGATGCCAGTTGCTGTTTTGCATTAAGCTTGCATTTAATTTTGAATGTCAAATAAAGATTTATTTTCTTTATGACTGCATGATAAATCGTATCTGCAAAGATATTTCATTTAGAACTGAATGAGGTTTCAAGTACTATTAAATTGAGAACTTAATATTAAAGTATCCTGTTCTTACAGGAATAAACAAACACCTTGTATTAACTATTTAGTGGTGCTAATTAAATGCATGAACAAAATTAAATGTGTTCAATACATAGTTACAAGATTTAGTTCTTGTTTGTTCTACACAGGCAAATATTATTTCAAATGCTACATTGCAATGTTCCAGTTATTTGCTTCAATGCAAAAGATTTTCTGAGGACACTGCTTGCAGTTTATGGTAGTGAAATTAGCTGGAAACAAGGTAACTATTGGATCTAATTTATGATTGAATCCTGTGCTGTCCTTGATGGTGATGTTTCTGTTAGAATTACTAGATGTAGAAGTAACTAGACTGGTGGCTGAATAATATTTGGGAAAACAGAGTTTTAGTAGCATGGAGAAGAAAACACTTTTTTGGAGGTGATGTGTCAATATGATGTATTCCTTCCAGGAATAGGAATAAAATTGCTGAATAACTAAGGAAAACTTTGAGTGGAAAAAGAAAGCTCTCAACAAAGTGCTGACTGCAGCTGAAAAGATCAAATTACTTCATGTTTTGTTTTCCTAGGAAAACTCCCTCTGCTCAAGAGGAGAGACTAAAATAAAATCCAGAAATGCTTGCAGCTGTCAAAATTAGAACTTGCGTGACTGGGTCCTTGGTTAGTTGATAGAAATAAATAAGACTCTTGTGTAAGGGGGAAAGAAATCTAAGGTCTAAAAATAGTGTTTATTTTTTCTATTTTTTCTTAGATCTGTGGGTGGATCTATGACATAATAAAAATAAATTTTTGCCCCTTTAGAGGGCACTCTTTCTATGTAGAGTCTACAGATCATATTCAGCATCTGAAAGGCGTCATCAGAAAATGCCGATAAACTTCCAGTGGTTTAAGATCTGGTCTGAGGATCTGCACAAAAGGCCTTTAGCTCTGAGAAAGGGGGAATTGTGAACACTGTGAGAATGTTGGAATGGAACAGTTGTTGGTGAAAATTTTATGACAGGAAATAGTAGATCTATATTATCCTCTGAGTCATAGAATATTAATCTGAAGACCACATATCTCAAAGGATTCTTGTTTAGTTTCTTTAAGCCTCGGAAGTTGTTCTCTCACACATCTCTGCCATGGTAAGAAGTACATTGTGGAAATTGTGTATGCTAAAGATAAAATCTTGTCATTGCCAAGACAAGCAAGCACTGAAATGTCATTAGGAGCTTAGATTAGTGTGTGATGCTCCAGGGAGTGCAACCCTTAGCTCTGTCATGGGTATGGTGGTTTTCTGGTCGTAGCTCGGCCACACTTGTCTGGTGCCACTAGAACCCCACATCTGCCAGCTGGGAGCACCCTGTTATGTGCAGCCTTCCTCTGTATGTAACTCATTGCTTTCACCTCTTCATTTCTGAAGTCGTATGTTTTGTGCCAGTTATTTTTATTACAGAGAAAAGGGGAAACTTCTGTTAACTTATAAGGAGACCTTGTGGCCACTTTCTATTTGCTGACCACATGTTTACTCTGTTAATTGTCTAAGTGACAATGCTGTTCTGACTGTTGTCCCCTCAGTTAACACTGAGGTGATAGAAGAGATGATCAGAGTTTTACAGAAACATTTCCAGCTGCACTCTGGTACCTTCTAAATACTGCGGTGCTGAGTCATAGGCTTAAGTCTATTCCCTAGCTTGCTCCCAAGAGAAAGTTGGCAGGGGTTTCTCTTTCATATATTCTTACTGCTCGAGTCAAGCATCTCTGGACTTTGGCTAGTTCTCCCTGCTGCTATCCTCCCTGTCAGGGAAGAAGGGATAGATGAGCCAGGGATATTTGTTTTTTATCCTTTTTCACTAGAGGCTGTTTTGTGTGCTCATTGTAAACAAAGATAAGAGAAAAGGATTTTCAGGAGATTTCACTAAGGCTATTCTGTTGTAGTTTTCCTCCATGTAGCTGTGGTAAGATTCAGTTATTCTTATTAGTGCTTATTTCATGCAGTCCTCAGATGAGCTTGTCAATGTCCTATGCCCCCCTGGATGAAGAGAGCGCTTTTTTGCAGCCTTATAGACATTTTCCTACTCCATCTGCTGCCTGGAGTGTTGCTTCATCTGCCTCCTCACAATGCATCATCTGTGTTGCTGGTAAACCTGTCTGCGGCGGTTGTCAAAGATTCGTTTAATTCTTGCAGTGATTGCTTCTTGCTGAAAGAGCAGTGGAAATCCTGTAGATGCAGGTTTCTCTTTGGAGTGAATTCTGAGCTGCACAGACTTTCTCAGCTGTGTGACTCCAAGGCCAAGACCGTCCTTCTGAATGACAGGCCTCCCCTTAGTAGCACCCTCAGGAGTGAATGCTTGAGACAGTTTCCGAGGCTGTTCCGTACTATCTGTGAGTTTCTGAGAAGAAGAGCTGTTTACACTGAAAGAAGGGGATAATAAGCTGCATCACGTATCTGTGTGAGGCCATGCACACGAAGCACCCTTCTGTTTTCTGAGGGCACTCCAGCAGAGTTTAAGCTATTTCAGTGTCTCCCATCCTAACATCTGCTGAGCAGCCACATGGATTTCTTTTCAGCACCACTTGTATCATTAGAGGAAAACAAGCCTAGTACAGTTCTTCCCTGGTATAGTCCTGCAGCTGTAACTTACGTTACGAACATTAAAACTTGCTTCTTGGTGTCACTGAGTGATAAATGTACCTGTGGGTTGTCATTTAAGTAACAGTTAAAGATATTTAGTGGTTACTTAAGAGGTTACTTATACTTGGATATATCTCAAAGAATTCTGCCCTCTTCTTTGTGGTACTACAGTGAATATGTGGCTGTCGTGGCTAAGAGGGAAATGAAATAGCACTAGGTTTGCTCCATCTTAGATATCTAGATGAACATGAGTGAAAATGCAACGGGAGGACAGAAGATTCAGCAAGACTAAAGGTTCTCATTTTGAGAACGGTGTTGTGCCACCAATATGTGAATTTGTGCATGCATTGCAGATCTCAAAAGTCTGATTGCTGGGAAGTAAATGTACTGCCCCCACCATAACAGGAACAACAAAGCAACAACTGCATCTGAGGGAGGCAACCATAAGAAAAACTTCATTTTGAAATTTGTCAGGGATAAAGAAGAGAAGCTTTTGCAGAGGGAATCTTAAGAACCAAAGGCACATTCAGATTTTAAAGCCTTAACAAAATCTCTTCCAAAATTTTCTCATTAGCGCTGAATACCATATTCCTATGCAGTCATGGTATAGATTACAGCTGCCAGTTCAAGGTTCTAATGTTCTTGTAGCTTAAGTGCTTATGGCCTGTATCTATAGGAAAGATGGGCAAACCTTTGGAAATATTTCCTAATATTGGAAGTAATGGAAATATTTTGATTAAAACAAAATTAATGTTTATATTTTTTGTAGTTGCTGACAGTGTCGTGTTAGATCCAAGAATTGCAGCATGGCTGATAAACCCCAGTGACACAGTTCCCTCTTTTGAATGTTTAATCCAGAAGTATTTTGAAAAGTCTTTTTCCATGAGAAAAGTAAGTACAAATATAGGTTCTCTGAGAAATGCACTGGAAGGTAGTTGTTTTAAATTGTTTGTGATCATGTGAAAAAAGGAGAAAAAAACTAAATTGCTATTGTTTACAAAATACTGCAAAAGCATTCAGTTAATAGTGTTCTTCCTGATGAAGGCAAGTTATATTAACACTACTTTTCAGAAATCTAATGTGGACAATGGGGGAGTGTTCATTGTAGTCTGCCCAGATGGTATTATATTCTCAAGGAATAGCTGCAAAATTCTGCATCAAAACCGAATGCTCAGTAACAATGCTAATTAATATTAATTGCAGCAAAACACAATTTAATCTTTCCTTTTACGTGTCTGCAAGCTGCTTTTCAGCTTTCATTCCCGAAGTCACTAATACTTTGCTTGGTAATTCCTGTGAATTTTGTAGTCTGTACTTGCTGTAATTCAGTTACTTGTTAGTAAGCATGCTATAAACATCAAAACCGAATGCTCAGTAACAATGCTAATTAATATTAATTGCAGCAAAACACAATTTAATCTTTCCTTTTACGTGTCTGCAAGCTGCTTTTCAGCTTTCATTCCCGAAGTCACTAATACTTTGCTTGGTAATTCCTGTGAATTTTGTAGTCTGTACTTGCTGTAATTCAGTTACTTGTTAGTAAGCATGCTATAAAAGATGTAGTTGTGGAGAGGTATCAGAACTGAGAGAGAAGAAAAAAAAATATATATATATTGTTGCATACAAGTACTACATGCTAAAAATGCTGAATTTCACAATATGTTAGTGAAAATACTCTATCATACTCCATGTCAAACCCTATGTCAAATATGAACCTGAAGTATGTGGAAGGAAAAATTGATTTTTTTTTTCTCAATAAAGGAGAATGGTTAATGAGCCTGGAAAATTATTCCCAATGCTACAGAAATGTCTTACAGCCCTTCAAAACTTATTTGCTGAATATATAAAATCTTGCTATTTGTATTTTGGTCTGTGGTGTTCTGCTCTGGATATATTCACTGGTTGTTTGAATTTTGAAACTTTTCATGCTTGAGGGAACTATTGATAGCAACAGATGTGCACTAACCTAATTAAGATGTCTTGCAACATCGCACTTTTCTGTGTTTTGCTTGTTCAGACACAGACATTGTAGTAAAATTATAGACTTCCTAGGAACAATATCTAGTGGGCTTAGGGCATGGGCAGAGCTCAGCTGTATCAGCATATCCTCATCAGTACAGACATGTCAGAAAAACAGAGCTAGGTTACTTTAAAATGTTATCTGTAAACTGCAGTTATTCAGAAGCTACTCTGTGGTTTATTCTATTAGCATAGGAATTGTTAAGGCAGGTAGGTAGAATCCTATAGATTTATCAGTTATTTCTACATGTGTTTTCCCCACTTCTGAATCAGCATCCTTATTTTTGTCTCTTCCATGTTTCCTTACCTCAGACTTTTGTCCATGTATCACATATATCTGTTTCATATATTACATCTGTTTCTCAACTTTGCCATCCTGATTGCAGACTCTTGAGTTAAATATTGCCTTCTCTACTGTCCTCCTCTAGGTTTAATTTTATTTTTTTGCCCTACCCACTTCCAAGCCCTTTTTGCTGACTCCTTGCTTATATCCCAGTGTATATTCAACAAATATGTTGCTCCTGGTGCCTGTTATTCACCATAGGGAATTGGTGAGAGGGCAGGCAGAGGTGTGCATGAGGCCGAAGGGTAGCACCGTGGGACTGTGCAGAGGTTAGGAAAGAGCTAGCTTAGACGCAGACGCACGGTGACCTTTTCTAGCCTGTTCTGGTCACTGTTCTCAGCTGACATCATTTTCCTTCTGCTAGCCGGATCTTTTTCTCCCTGTATGCTCCACAGATGCATTCATTATTTCATTTAATGTCTCTTCTGCATTTCAATCAGAGGCTCCTTTGCCAGTTCATCTCCCTTTTCCTTTCCTTTCAGTCTTCCAAATTCCAGCCCTGGTTTTACTAGACTAGTATCCATCCAATCCACTTCACTCTGTAATCTGTTTTTTTTCCTCTTTTTTTTTTGTCTTCTATGAATTATGCATGCTTTGTTTTTTTGCACTTTTTTTTTACTCTTTAAATGTTAAGATTTGAAAGAATTCTGTTAACCAGAAAATTACAGTTCGTTGTTTAGCAAAAGCTTACTTTTGTAGCTCAAAGCAAACAATCGGCTGTACAAATAAGATGGACTTGAATCAGTTAAGAGTAGAAAAGTTAAAAAATAAAGTTTTAAAGATAACTCAAAACGTAGAATTTTATTATGAAAAAAGTGCAGAGACACTGCACTTTTGCAACAAGAAATTAAGTTTTGATTTAGCAGAAAGATTAAAATAATACTTAACTGCTCAGACTGAAGCAGATTCATTGCTGTCTGCTAGTTTTTTGACCAAAAACATACTTACACAAGGAGAAGTGGTTGCATATTTTTTGCCTATTAGCAGTGGAATTCAGGGGAATGGGCACACACTGCAGTCCTGCAGAGTATCATAACTGAAACGAGCAGAAAATGATCTTGGCAAGTAATTAAGAACCAAACCACTTGAAGCTAGTGTTCAAAAGATCCATTAAGGGGAACTTCTAAGTAGTGACTAGCTTGCAGTTGGAGGTTAACATTTTAAAAAAGATAGATTACCCTAGTGAAGGGAGAAGGATAAAAAGAGCTTTCACACACCCTTTTTAGGCAAGAGGGGGATTCTTGTGTGGTTGATATCAAGGAGAATGAGGTAGGGTGCACCCAAAGCCAGTTACTTTCCCAATATAAGCACAATGGAAGAGGGATGCATATATCGGCACGTGTATTATCGCAGTTGTGTATGATCTTATTTGCTAATGTTTTGCTACTTGAGACACCATACACAAGTTATCGGTTCTGTTTTTAGAATGAATTGCGACTTCCCATAAGTACAAAGGGTGTCCCATACTTCTGCTACTGTAGACACTTCCCCTCTTCTCTTAAAAATTCGTGTTGAGTCAACAAGTTCCCATGCTGGTCAGAAATGCTTGCTGATGAAGCTGCAACATTTTATAATTTGTGTAATTAATTATAATTAATTACTATATTTTATTTTTCTAATTATAGATATTTAATGAAAGAAGTAAGACAAGGAAGTTGGAGGACAAGTGGAGGTCTATAGAAAAAAGAGAGACTTTTTGCAGCTCCTAGCAGAAGAGTGTCAGCCTAATGCTCCGTCAGCTCTAAGATAGGAGTGGAAATAATAAAATGGGCTGAGGACAACTAGGATTGCTTTAAAACACAGATTGGATGAATGACAAACCCAAAGATAGCTTACTTATAAAATGCCCAAGAAACAGATTTGGTGTTTTTTTCAATTTGGAAGCCTTCCATTGGAATTCATGGACATTTGTTTTCCTGTCAATCCATGTTTTCCATTCTTGACAGAAAGATGAAATTCATGTGGAAAGCAGATTTTAAGTTGAGCTCCAACTCTCCCTATGTTAATTTAGTAGAAATGATCTTGGAGTACCCATTTCATCAAGTATGTAGCCAAATCTAGGTCAATCTCCAGCAATTTTGAGGGAGAATAAGTAATTTTAATCGGTTTATTTTCTGAAGTGGTGAACATTCCATTGGCTTCACTATTGATTTCAACTCCAACAGATCCTCCATCTGATGTATATTAAGCTGATGTTGTCAAACAAAATAGTAAACTTAGGCATCCTACAATTCTATTTTTTATAGATTTCTCTTGAACTGTCATGCACAGGGATCTGCAAATGCTACTGCACTGCACCTCACATTGCTGTGTCTTTCATTCTTGGTTCTGGGCTTGCTGGAACAGTAGAAAAGGACATGAAAGGGGGCAATACTGCCAGCAGAAATGCAACTGCCAAGCAGATTTTCCTTATTTTAGAAATAGTAATAGAATTCTTGCTTGAACATCAAAGGTAGCATAGGGGTACCATTTCTCCATACTCAGTTTGTGCAGAATATAAATTATGGAACAGATAAAATATTCAATGTTCATCTCTGTATTTCTGTGTACATCTGAGTTTTGTTTATCACAGCTCTAAGAATATTTCTAAGATGCCAAATCTAATATGAGGCAAATATGGAAAAATATGCAATTTGATCTCTTTTAGAACATAGAGTATTCTGAATGAATTTGTTAAGAAATAGTCTTGATTCTTTTCTTTCAGTATCAAAACATAGGTTTACATTTGGAGAAACTTTACAACGTAATGATGGATCTTGCTCATGGCTTACAGGTAAGATTTGAAAAGCAGAAATTCTGATCATTTCTGCAGTAATAAGATGAACTAAAAAATATTAGTTATGTGCCTCATTGAGATCAGAATCTCCATGCGAGTGAAATGGAAGTTTTGAAACATTAGTGATTTACAGTTCTGGTCAACATTAAAATATTGTCTAATAAATCTGGTATTTTTTTTTTACTAGAAGGAAGCATTTATTTAGTTTGAGGTTAATCTTGAGAACATATTTTTCCTATAAGCAGTTAATTTACACATTTATATGAATATTCCAAGAACAAGAAATGTTTAGAGTATTGTGATTATATTTTCATTTGGTATTTTGAAAATATATCGGATGATGTTTTATTTCCTATTTCTTAAAACATCATGTAGCTGGATATTTTTACAAATAAGAATATTTACAAAGTGTTTTTCTTGAGGACAAAAACTTTCACTAGATTGTGTTAGGCATTACTGCAGTTCAGAATGCACTTCAATGATTTTTCTAGCTCTTTCTTTTTTCTTTTTTTTTTTTTTCCTTTAACTTTTTTTCCTATAGTCATATGGCTGGAAAAGTACCAGAATGTAGAGTCATGTTCAAGTTCTAGTGGATGGTACATCATAAAATTCTAGTAGTTTTCTTTGAAATTGATACAGCAAGCGTAGGGCAGAGATATATTGACAAGAGTATTAGTGTTCTTGACACTAGTCTGTATGTCTAAGCGGCCCCGGCAGTATGCTGAGACATTCTGCAAAGGAAGGCAACAGGGAAACACCGAAGGCACACGAGCACAGACAGCCAAGCTACACGAAGAGTTTTCAGATGAAAAACTGCTGCCCCATTGCTTTGTTAGAGGGAAAAAAAGATTTGCCTTTTCTTATAAAGAAATAGCGTACATTGCTCGTCACTCTTTTCTTCCTAATGCCAATAAAATAATGCATACTGACTCGTTGCTTAATTGTTCAAGTGAAAAAAACAAAAAGGCAGAATAAAATGCACTATTATAATGGAGCTTACTCTGAAATTAAACTGTTTAGAAA